CTTACGTAAGTGACAATGTTAAAACCTTTGATTGTGTCAATCACAACAAATTGTGGAAAATTCTTAAAGAAATGGGACTAGCAGGCCACCTTACCTGCCTCCTGCAAAACCTGTATGTACATTAAGAAGCCACAATTAGAACCAGGCATGGAATAATGAACTGGTTCTAAATTGGGAAACTAGTATGTCAAGACTGTATACTGTCACCCTGTTTATTTAAATCTAAAAGTGAAAAAGGAACTAAACAGCCTCTTGATGAAGGTGACAGAGGACAGTGAAAAAGCTGGCTTAAAACTCAACAGGCAAACAAACATCATGGTATCTGGTTCCATCACTTCACAGCAAATAGATGGGGAAACAATGCACAGACTGATAGACTTTATTGTCTTGAACTACAAAATGGTGCAGATGGTGACCAATGGTTGCAGCTATGAAATTAAAAGATGCTTGCTCCTTAGAAGAAAAGTTATGTCAAAACTAAGAGTGTATTAAACAGTAGAGACATTACTTTGCTGACAAAGGTCCAGCTAGTCAAAGCTATGGTTCTTTCAGTACTCACGTACAGATGTGAGAGTTGTACCAGAAATAAGACTGAGCACAGAATAAATGATGTTCTAAACTGAAGTGCTGGAGAAGCCTCTGTAGAGACCCATGAACAGCAAGGAGATCAACCCAGTCAATCCTAAAGAAAATCAACCCTGAATATTCACTCCAAGGACAGATGCTAAAGCCCCAATACTCTGGCCACCTGACAGGAAGAGCCAATTCATTAGAAAAGACCCTGATGCTGGGGAAGACTGAAATCAGAAGAGGACAACAGAGGACAAGGTGGTTGATGGCATCACCAGTTCGATGCACATGAGTTTGAGCAAGTTCCAGGATATTGTGAAGGACGGAGGGCTTGGTGTGCTACAGTCCATGGGGCTGGAAAGAGTCTGACACAACTAAGTGACTGAACAACAACAAAATGCATGTATTAGTTTTTCAAAGACAAAAAAGGATGTAACTGTCTATAGGTATACAGGTATGGGACACAGCAAATTGCAATTTTTTCCTCATTATGTCTAACTGATTTAAAACCTATGTAAGCACTCTTCATATAACTGTATTATTAAGTCAAAAATATACAGTATTAAGTTATTCTTAATGACAGAACAAATGAATTAAGTGGACTACAGACAAGACTCTAGATGGTAACTCAAATATACAAGAGAAAAATAGAGAAACAAAAATGGGAACTTAAAAGGCTAAAATACAAAAGCTGAACACACATTTTTACAGCTCAACAAATCACATAAATTAATATTATAACTATGTACTATTATATAACTTTCACATAACACAAGTAACTGTTGAAGCTGTAACAAATAAAAGAACAGGGTACAAAAGCTCTGTAAGAGTGCTGTTTCTTTATCTCACAGGAACTAAAGTAATATAAATTCATATAAATTCAAATAAATTTATTAATGAGCCCATGTCAAGTGATAGTGCAAACACTGAGAAAGTAACACACTAATGAAAAGTATAAATAAGTTAGGCTATATTTTTAAAATCTGCTTCATGCAGTAAAGCAAGAATAGAACAAAAAGAATGGCTAATGGCTCAATGATAAAGAATCCACCTGCCAATGCAGGACATGCAGGTTTGATAGATCCCATAAACCACTAAGTGTGCATCACAACTACTAAGTCTGTGCTCTAGAGCCCTGGAGCTGCAGCTACTGAGTACATGAGCCCTAGAGCCTATGCTTAGCAACAAAAGAAGGCACCACAATAAGAACCCCATGTGCCACAAAAAAGAGTAGCCCCTGCTTGCTGCAACTAGGGAAAGCCTATAAAAAACCAAATATTTAGCACAGTCAAAATAAATTAAAGAATAAATTTTAATTTTAAAAAAAGTAATAATAAACTACTTAATAGTTTAAGTACAATGGCAGATGTATAAAACAGTTACATTAAACAAAACTGGATTAAATAATCAGAATGCACAAATTATCAGACTTGATAAAATTAAAAGATCCAACCATATACTGTCTTTATGAGGCATTGTTTAGATTAAAAAATATAGACTCTATAAACAGAAAATGTGAAAAACAAAACATCATGAAAACAATAATTAAAAGTTATGGAATGGCTATACTAATTTAAACAAAATTCTTCAAAATCAAAAGAAAGTTAATAGAAATAATGGAGGACATAAAAGAATTAATCTCCGTATTTTAAATCCGAAAGTTGTTAAGATGGTAAATCCTAAATGTTCTCAAGACAAAAAGAAATGGTAATCATGGCTACATGATGGAAATGTTGGCTAATGCTACAGTGTTGAATGCTTTGCTATAAAGGCATCACACCAACACACCATATCTTAGACAAACGGCATTACAGCACTTTAAAGTTTAAAACTTTTGTCAATTTTACCTCCTAAAATTTTATGTCAGTTATGTCTCCAAATATACAGCAACTCTAAAAGACCCATGTGCTGAACAAAATATGACACAAAACCTATAAAAACAACCCCGAAATAAGCAAATCAGCAGCAGCTGGAGTCTTCAATCTCATTCAACACAGACAGAACAATAGGGAAGAAGATGAAGAAAATAGATAACTCAAAATTTATAACCCACCAAACTTAACAAATATTTAAAGACTACTTCAAATAAAGACTGAATATACATATCCCTCTCATGCACTTATTCCCCAAAGTAGAATAAATGGTATGCTGCAAGTGAAATCTGAGTAAAAACAAGAGTTGAAATAATATAAATATAAAAATAATATAAAACATATTCTTTGATGGTTTTTAAATACTAGAAAAATGTAGAATTTAAACTATATGTTCCTGAATAATTAATAAATCAAACTATGATTAAAAGAAATAGGATGTAAAGTGTGGTGTTACTCAGTGATGCTTAGTCACTCAGTCGTGTCCAACTCTTTGTAACCCCATGGACAGTAGCACATATACCAGGCTCCTCTGTTCATGGGATTTCCCAAGCAAGAATACTGGAGTGGGTTGCATGCCCTCCTCCAGGGGATCTTCCTAACTCAGGGATCAAACCTAGATCTCCCGCACAGAAGGCAGATTCTTTACTGTCTGAGTCAGCAAGGAAGCCCATGAATACTGGAGTAAAGTATGGAACCAACACAGAAACAATCCTAAATATAAGCGAAAGTCTAGAAATAAACCAAACATTTTCAGGCAAGAAACCTGTGACTATGCTATCAAGACCACTGTTGAGGAAACAATTTTCTTTCTAAAAAATACTGCTGTTAGGACAACCACATTAAGTTGAAACCTTACTTCATACCGTACAAAAATAAATTAATTTAAAATAATCAAGAAGCTAAAAGTAGGAGAGAAAACCTTTTTTGGATTTAGCTTTGAAAGAAAAAATGAAGAAAAATCTTTGTAACTTGCATGGTATTAAACATGTTGGAGAAGCAAAAAGGAGAAAAATAATACATGGGAATTCATTACTAAAAACTTTTGTGCCTCAAAGAGGCACATGTTTTATTAAACATGAAAAAATAACGGAGAATGAGAAAAACCTCAGCAATTCAACTAGATATAGAAATAACACTGCAACTTAATTTTAAGGAGCAAAGAATCTAAACAGATTTAAACAACAAACAGAACGATTTTCAAATATTACTAGTCATTAGGGTAATGAAAACAAAAACTAAAGTGAGAAACCATTTTATACCCACTAGGATGGTGGAATTTAGAGAAGACAGAACAAGTACTGGCAAGAATAACAAAATGAGTTCTTCCTACACTGACTATCAGAATGTAACATGGTATAATCAGTCTAAGTCAACATATCATCAAAAAGTTAAAAGCACAGCTAATTCAAGTCTGAGGTATGTTTCCAAAAAGAATGAAAATATGTATTCAAAGAAATGGATATGAATGTTTACAGCAGTGTGATTCATTATAACATAGGAGGAAAGATAGCAGATGGCCATCAACAGACAATGAAAGAAACAAAATGAGCATCGATAAATTGTAAGTTATAGTCCTAAAAAGGAATGAAATACTAATGACATGCGCAACCATGAAGATAAACCTTGAAAACATCTTTTTCTAAAAGTCATTCCAGACTAGACAAACATATAGAATACAAAGTAAATTAATAATTTCTTTGGACAGGGATCATGGGGTTTGGGAGAGAGAATAAATTGTCTCATTTTTGAATGCTAAAAATATTTTAAACATTCTAAAATTCATTGTGGTAAAGGATACACAAACTTTGTGAATATATTAAAAATCACTAAACTGTACCCTTCACATGGGAGTTTTACAGTAGATGAATCCTACTTCTTTAATACTATCATCAAAAATAGAATAATAGTGAATTTAAATAAACTTATGTAAATGTTTTCAGATTAAATAAAGCTTCATATTTAACTATTTCTTTCTACTCCAAGTGCTTTCAAAAAACCAGTAACACTTTTACTGGCTTAGGATCAACATGGGAGTTTTCAAAGTCTTTGGGTAATCTAAAATTTCCCTTCCAGGCAACAAAACACTCTTTATAAATAATCCCCATTGTAACTGTATGATATTATAGGTTATAACCTATTATAAGATATATCTGCTTTGTGACACAGAATAATGACACAAATGATTCTTAGCTTTAACAGCCTGATTCAGTAATCTTCAGAATCACCACCATCAACCCTTCAATTATTTCTAGTTACAAACTTTAAGCTCGATACTTTAAATTTGTTTATTAAAGTGTCAAGTAGAATGTCTTTTTAATTAGTCAGAAATGTAGTTACTAAGAACACTACCCTCACACAAAACAGCTGGCACAAAATAATACCATTATGTCTTTTTAATTAGTCAAAAATGTAGTTACTAAGAACACTACCCTCACACAAAACAGCTGGCACAAAATAATACCATTCTCTCTTACCACATTTCCTACTTAAAATTAGTATAGTTAATACTTTGCCCCAAAATAAGAAAACAAAATTGGCATTCAAATGTGTACAAACCTTCCAGTAGTCAGATTGCAAACTGTAGTATCTCTGATATGCAGATAATGCTGAAAAAGGAAAAATACTTATTAGTCAAATTACATCCTATTCAAAAATTTGTAACAGACATTTTAATATAAACTGCCCATCAGTCCTGCCTCTCAGCAAAACAGGGACTATTAAACACAGTAAATCTTTAAAGTTCATGCCCTACCAACTTAATCATCTACAGAAATAAACTGTAATAGAAAAAATAACCTACAGGAGATCAGGTATATAAACAATCATCAAATCGGATCCTTGCACTTAAATGTAAAAATCTACTATTTGAAGCTCCATCTCTTTAGAAAAAAATTATTTACATATTTATTTATTTATTGTTGTGGTGGCTCTTCATTTCTGCATGAGCTTCTCTCTAGCTTAGAAGGCAGGGGCTACTCTCTAGTTGCTGTGTGTGGGTTTCTCATTCCAGTGGCTTCTCTTGCTGTGGAGCAGGGGCTATAGAGCTCATGGGCTTCATTAGATGCAGTTCCCAGGCTGCAGTGCACAGGCTCAACAGTTGTGGCACATGGCCTTAAATGCCACAAGGCATGTGAGATCTGTCTAGTTCAGCAATTGAACCCGTGTGCCTTGCATTGGCAGGGTATTCTTTATCACTGAGTCACCAAGGAAGCCCCCAAAAATGTTAAATCTTGACAATTTAATTCACTTGTCTTTTATCAACCAAGTCTCATGGAAAGCTTCTAAGACTGTTTTTACACACATAATGCATTTTCTCCAAATGCATCACTTTCCAGAAAAACAAAACCTCAGCTCTAACAAACTCTTGTTTCTGGTGCTTCCCTTCAAAGAAGCAACACTACCTTGAGCTGCTAGCTTCAATTTCATTACAAGATGGCTATTCCCATGCTCTCTAAATCATCTAAAGGCATTAAAAGGCTAATGACATAAAAAAAGGCTCCTGTCTGCCTAAAAAAGGCCTTATATAAGAAAAAAGGTCAATATGAAGTCACATAAGCATATTAGAGTTAGTGGGGAGAATTTTTTAAAACTAAAAACAGGAAACTCCATATCACTCCAGGGAAATAAAAATGTTTTTGATTTATTTGTTAAAGTTCCAAAGGGAGAACGTTTAGAGTAAAATATACTTAGGAATGAAAACTGCCTTAAAGTCAAAGTAAAATGAGAATACTGCAGTAAAAAAAGGAAGAACAGATTTTATGTGGGTACTTTACCACTGAAAATTTCCCTATTTTGGACAAACATTTTTAAGAATTTCGGATATCTTCCCTCCAGTCTCAAAAACATTATTGAGTATCCGTTCATGAAAATAACTACATAGAGTTAAGGGAAAAAATGTTTAATGAGGGAAAATCACTTTTTCAAATACTATCATAAAGTCAGAATAACTGGAATTTGAAAATAACCAAATGTATGTTTAAAAGACACTAGTATTTATGGCAATCAGCTCATATACTACACTCCCATTTTAAGTCTAAGAACAAAATGACTTAAAATATTTGTTTTTACAACAAGAATTTAAAAGACTAAAGCTAATACAGGGTACAAGAGCAGTCATTCACTGAGAAAACTAACCTAGAAACAAGGGTGAGGCTACAAAAATTCACTGTAGTATGCTTGAAATTTAAAAATCCCTGGGCTCCCATACAGAGGAGTAGCCCCACAACATTGTGACTCACAACCCTGTGAGACTTATAGGGGCCCAATAAGATTCCCATAATGTTTGAGAAAAATGGCCACAAGCTTCTGAGAAAATAATGGAAAAAGGAACAATTTTTTAAAACTTTTTTCTTTGTATTGAGGTATAGCTGATTAACAATGTTGTGATACTTGCAGGGGTCAGCAAAGGCACTCAGCAATCCATACACATGTATCCATTCTCCCCCAATCTCCTTTCCCATCCAGACTGCCACATGACATTGAGCAGAGTTCCCTGTGCTGTCCAGCAGGTCCTTGCTGGTTCTCCATGTTAAATACAGCAGTGTGTCCATGTCCATCCGAGACTCCCTGACCATCCCTTCCCCCATCTTCCCCCTGGTGACCATAAGGTTATCACAGAGTATTGAGCAGAGTTCCCTGTGCTGTCCAGCAGGTCCTCGCTGGTTCTCCATGTGAAACACAGCCGTGTGTCCATGTCCATCCCAGACTCCCTGACTGTCCCTTCCCCCATCCTTCCCCCTGGGAACCAGAAGGTTATTAGAGTACTGAGCAGAGTTCACTGTGCAGAGTTAATTCTTTGTGCTATATGGTAGGTCCTTGTTGATTATGAAAAAGGAACAACTTTAAATATCCAAGAGCATTCTGTTCTTCTTAACAATCGAGAAATTTAAAGTAGACATTCAACTCCAGCCCACTCCAATCATGCTATCTATTCTAGAGAGAAGAAAACAAGCAAGAAATTTTTATGTAGTTCACTTTCCAAAGGCACAGACTAACTAAAAAACTGAGACTGAGGACACTTTCTCTATGCCAACATTCTGTACAGCATTAGTTAAGGCCTATTCACAGACCTTCTTTATGCCTGGTATATCAAGTTCAGATATCAAGAAAATACTACAACACACAACCCACATGAAAGAGGAAGAGAAGGAAGGAGAGGGAGGAAGAGCAGAAACAGGCACAGCAAACATCCGAACCAGATGTGACAATGATGCTGAAATGATTAGATCAGGGAATTTAAGCAACCACAACTAATATGTGAAGAATATCTAAAAAATATATAAAGTGGACAGTCTACTAGAATGCTGAAACAATGTAAGTAGAGAACATGAAGGACAACACTTTCAAGCAGAAATGTTAAAGATCAGAAACACTGTAAAAAAGATGAGATCAGTAGGTGGTGTATACTGCTGAAGAAAGAATATCTGACATAGAGGACTTATCAAAAAACAATCCCTGTTCTCCCTGTTCTCAAAAAGAATCCCTGTTCTCCCCAGGGGAACACTGGGGAGAAAAAAAATACACAGGGCTGTGGGACAATCAGAAAAGGTATAACTGTGTTACTAAAAAAAGATAAAGAAATATGATACTAACAAATGATAAAGAAACTACAGGAATTATTTGCAAAAATGAATGAGAATTTCCCCAAAATTAAAACAAGGCAACAGGCCATAGATCCAGGAAACATAAAGAATACCAAGCATGTAAAATGTACACAGCAAAAAACTACACTGAGGTATATTATTTTCAAACTGCACAAAATCAAAGCTTTAAGATAAAAAATCATGGATAAGAAGGCTGATGTATCTTTTGGTCTGATCTTTTACTGTAATAACAGTATCTGTACTTATGATGTCTTGAAAGGGGAAAGAGTAGCAACAGGCATGATGACAACAGAAACACTATGGAAAAGGTAATTCAAACCTATCTTCAGTCACCAATTACTGATACATATAAAGAAAAGAGAAAAGTCAAGAAAACAAGATGCTTCAGAAGCTGTTAATGAGGTTTTTGATGATACTGGAAAGATTTATGACAGAGAAAGCAAACTCTGATACTGAAAGGATCCTTGAAATCACAGTGCTCTGATAACTGATATCACAACCCTTTTTAAGGCAATTTTAATCTTTCATGATTACATCTCAACTGATGGCTGACAAGTGTTAAGTGAGGTCCAGGTTGGCCTTGCTTTCCCGGTGATTCAGATGGTAAAGAACCCACCTGCCCAAAAGAGACATAGATGTAAAGAACTGACTTTTGGACTCAGTGGGAGGTGAGGGTGGGATGATTTGAGAGAATAGCATTCAAACACGCATATTACCATATGTGAAATAGATGACCAGTGCAAGTTTGATACATGAAGCAGGGCACTCGAAGCTGGTGTTCCGGGACAACCCAGAGAGATGGGGTGGAGAGGGAGGTGGGAGAGGCAGTTCAGGATGGGGTGACCCATGTGCACCCATGGCAAATTCACGTTGATGTATGCCAGAAACCACCACAATACTGTGAAGCAATTAGCTTCCAATTAAATTAATTAAAAAAAAGAACCCACCTGCCATGCAGGAGATGCAGGTTCAGTCCCTAAGTTGGGAAGATCCCCTAAAGGAGGACAGGGCATCCCTCTCCAGTTTTCTTGCCTGGAGAATTCCATGGACAGAGGAGTCTGGTGGGCTACAGTTCATGGTGTCATGAAGAGTTGGACATTACTAAGTGACTAATACTTTTACATTTCCTTTTTTTCAAGTATATAGTAAGACAAATCAAATTTTTAATCTTTTTTCTTTGGGGGGGGGTTGTCACAGGAGTAGACAGTAAATTTAAGTCTACCTTCATGTCAGTTATAGAGTTCATAAAAAAGAAGGTAATAGGCACTTCTTGACTTTATTCAAAAAGAATATCCCTTTTATACTTCGTACATTTTGTAAGCAAAACTTTTTAGTATGTGTGTATACCCCTTTAGTAACTACAACATGTTTGGATTAGAAATTCCTTATATCTATTCTCCTACAAGTTTGTGAATTTGTGGGAAAATTACACAGAAACTTTTTATATAGTCAGTTCCTACACAATGCATTTGGTAAACACGAATTTCTACAACTATTTGAGTATTTACAACTGACAATTTCCTACAGCAAAGTATGAAAACTTAGCATTTGTTTTACCACAAAGTGGTGTGACACAGTAGTCTCTGCTTCCAGGAATTAGTATGGGAGCTCTGGGGTTCACAGCCTGGCAGAACTGTCACCCTTATCCTGACATAAATTTATTTAAAAGTTGATTATCCAGTATTTTCCAGATTATATCAGATTACGTGGGGTTGGCCAAAAAAGTTCCTCTGGTTAAGTAAAAATAAAAAATCCATTTCTCATGTTCACAAAGAACTTTATAGAACAATGTATTCACTGTTTCATTCCACTATCTTCCATCTTTCAGGCAACTTCATAATTTCATCTTCCCAAAACTTTTTATCTTCTTGATCAAGGGACTGTTCTAGGAACTTTTTACATACCGAAGAGAATTCAAATTTTCTTCATTAAAAGAAATTTGTAAAAACTGAAAAAACGAAATCTGAAGGTACAATGTCTGATGGACATGGTGGATGAATCAG